TATATCAAGAGCTCATAATAGAGAGCTATTATGAGCTCTTGATATATATATATATATAGGAGAAGTGTAGTGCGCGGAGATAGGGAGACAAACGGTCGTCACAGAGAGATAGATAAGAAATTAGAGTATGAGAGAGATCGAGAAAGAAAAAAAGGATGTGAGAGAGAGAAAAAGAGAGAGAGAGCACGCGAGAGAGAAAGAGAGAGAGAGAGCGAGGTAGAGAGAGAGCACGCGAGAGAGAAAGAGAGAGAGAGAGAGCGAGGTAGAGAGTGCGTGTGCGAGAGAGCTCGCTAGAGTGAGCGAGAGAGAGAGAGAGAGAGAGAGAGAGAGAGAGACAGTGTAGTGTGCACATATGATTGACGCGGACAAATATAAACGTCTAATTCTATCAGTCAGATATTCGAGATATCGCGATCGAATCCGACGTCTAGATTTTACGCTGTTGCTTTCGCTGAACGAGCAAATAACATTAGAACGTGCCTGTCTTTGACTCGCCATCGCTACATATAGTCCATAGCTGACTCACAATATCCCGTAGTAACTATAACTGGAATAGAAAGTTCAGTCACAAGTTATAGAATCGAGCTCATTAATATAGTTAAATTCTCATAATAATATTTCCCGTTGCTGTTTATTACAATTGCTGTAATCATCGGTGGTATTTCCTCGCAGCTGCTCGCGCGTGACGTCATCGTCGTCGTTCATCCGTGACGTCATCGTCGTCGTCGTCCACCAGTGACGTCAACGTCTCCGTCGTCACCGCATTCAGTGACGTCATCGCCATCGTCCACCAGTGACGTCATCGTCTGCGTCGTTGCATCAGTGACGTCAGCGTCTGCGTCGTCATGACGGTGATACCGTTCATCAACGAGGACGTGGCGGCGGTCGCCAAGCGCGCGAACGACCGCATTCGCAATCCGAAGGCGCAGCGCGCGATCGTGCTCGTCATCGTCTGCATCGCTCTGCTGCTCGACAACATGCTCTACATGGTCATCGTCCCCATTATCCCCGAGTACCTGCGCAGCATTGGCGCGTGGACCGAGATCGTGGCGCCGGTGTCGTGGACCGTGGACGCTAACGGAACCAACGTGACGATGCCGCCGGGAGTGACGCGATACGAGGGCGAGTCGGTGGCGGTGGGCATGCTGTTCGCGTCGAAGGCGTTGATTCAGTTGTTCATTTCGCCGTGCGCCGGCTACGTCATCGACCGGATCGGCTACGATCTGCCAATGATGTTCGGACTGACGGTGATGTTCCTGTCGACGGCGATCTTCGCGTTCGGGAAGAGTTACGGCGTGCTGTTCTTTGCGAGGAGTCTCCAGGGGGTCGGGTCCGGGTTTGCTGATACGGGAGGGCTGGCGATGATCGCTGACCGCTATACGGAGGAAGTGGAGCGAACGCGCGCGCTCGGACTGGCGCTGGCCTGCATCTCCTTCGGGAGTCTCGTGGCGCCACCTTTCGGCGGGATTCTGTACGAGTTCGCCGGAAAGAAGGTGCCCTTTCTCATTCTCTCCACGACGGCTCTCCTAGACGGCTTCCTCCTCCTACTCGTCATGCGTCCGGTCAAGCAGGCGGAGCTTCTGGAGAGACTCGACAAAGGAGCGCCCGACCGTCCCGCCGTCACTCCAATATGGCGGCTCATCACCGACCCCTACATTGCGCTGTGTGCTGGCGCCCTCTGCATGTCGAACGTCCCGCTCGCGTTCCTCGAGCCGACGATTGCGCTCTGGATGGAAGCGACGATGACGGATGTTAACGAGTGGCAGATCGGCATGGTATGGCTGCCGGCGTTCGTCCCCTACATCTGCAGCGTCTACCTGACGGTCTACCTCGCCAGACGCTATCCGCAGTACCAGTGGATCATAGCCATCGTGGGGCTGGCCATGGAGGGCGTGATGTCTTTCTTCATTCCTCTCTGCGCGACCTTCTCCCTTCTCATGATCCCCGTCGGCCTTCTCTGCTTCGGCGTCGCTCTCATCGACACGGCCATCCTGCCAACGATGGGATACCTCGTCGACATCCGTCACACGTCCGTCTACGGTTCGATATACGCTATCGCCGACGTCTCCTACTCGATGGCGTACGCCATCGGGCCGATGATAGCGGGAAAGATTACCGACCTGTACGGATTCGCAGCGTTGAACGTCGGGATCGGGGTCGTCACGTTGCTGTACTGTCCGCTGATCGTTCTGCTGAGAACGATTTACGTCTACAAGCCGATGGGATCTGAGGAGATGTCTGTGTTGATGGAGGAACCCCCGGCGAAGACGTTCAAAGCGTACATGATGAACAACCTCGAGATGGAACCTACCGATATCGACGGCGTTCACAACCACCTGGAACAGCGAGGAGGGGAAGAGGGGAGGCTTCCGGATCCGGTGCCGCGGAACCAGCGGAAGGTGAAGCAGATGACGGTGAGCAATCCGATATTCGCAATGGCGGACAAGGATGGAGACACGAGAGGGATTTTGGAAAGCGACTCCGATTAATCCCTCCCCTGCCGGATTCCCACCCCGTCCTGCCGGGCCCCCGCCGGAGCGAAGGGGCAAACATGCAATAAGTTGTATCGTGTGCTACCGACGACGACACTGATGCTGCCGACGCTGCTGCTGCTGTCGATGACGCTGCTGTTGTCGTCGTTGGTGTATTTAGCACAGCAAGCCGACAAGCTGTTTACGTGCTGAACTTAAACAACAAACAAAAACTTTGCCGCGTCGAAAGCAGAAGCTCACGAGCGCCGTTACTTAGCAACACTCGGCGGCCATCTTTGCTACTGTAGCAGCGCCCCCTCGCGGGCCGTACGCGCGTAGCCGACCGCTAGATGGCGCGCTTTTGGCATCACGTGACGTGCGCGTAGCATCAACTAGCGAGAGAGAAGTCAGATGAAGACTTAGCATGGAGTACCATGGCGGATAAGTGAGATTGCGTTTTTATGGTGATGCTCATGTGCATGCACGTGTATGATCCGCTTGATGGCGCTGCCGTCGCTGCGCTGCCGTAGGTGGCGCTGTTGTCGGTGACGCTGTCGTCGGTGATGCTTGTGTCTTTCGTTGTTGATACACACGTAAATTGTAGATTATTAATTAATGTCAACTTATCGCGGAGTCGCGTCTGGGAACACGTGGGCATGTGCCGCAGACACGCACTACATATATGTTTGTGGTTGTCACCATGTGTCACGTTGTCACCGTGTGTCGTGTTGTCACCGTGTGTCGCGTTGTCACCGTGTCTCGCGTTGTCACCGTGTGTCGCGTTGTCACAGTGTGACGCATTGTCACCGTGTGTTGCGTTGTTGTTGTATGTACAAATCGTGGTGACATCGTATTTCTCATTGTAACCGCCTGTCGTGTTGTTACATATGTGACGTTGTCAGCACGTGTCGCGTTGTCACATGTGTACCAGCGCGTGTCGCGTTGTCACCATGTGTACCAGCGCGTGTCGCGTTGTCACCATGTGTACCAGCACGTGTCGCGTTGTCACTCATGTGTACCAGCGCGTGTCGCGTTGTCACCATGTGTACCAGCGCGTGTCGCGTTGTCACCATGTGTACCAGCACGTGTCGCGTTGTCACATGTGTAGCCCGTGTCGCGTTGTCACATGTGTACCAGCCCGTGTCGCGTTGTCAGATGTGTACCAGCACGTGTCGCGTTGTCACATGTGTACCAGCCCGTGTCGCGTTGTCACATGTGTACCAGCGCGTGTCGCGTTGTCACATGTGTACCAGCGCGTGTCGCGTTGTCACCATGTGTCGCAGTATCGTGCCCCTGCGTGTCACGCTCGTCAACACGCAGCTGTCTTCGTTTCCGTCACCGATCGTCGCCACCGTGTCGCGGGCGTGTCAACCGTATGTGACGATGTCACCACCGTGTCGCGGGCGGGTCAACCGTATGTGACGATGTCACCACCGTGTCGCGGGCGGGTCAACCGTATGTGACGATGTCACCACCGTGTCGCGTGCGTGTCAACCGTATGTGACGATGTCGCCACCGTGTCGCGGGCGTGTCAACCGTATGTGACGATGTCACCACCGTGTCGCGTGCGTGTCAACCGTA